CGGTGCATACGATTCTCTGTCTATCAAGAGGTTGTTAACCTCTTAGATGCCCTAGGCTAACATGAGGGTTGGATCACATCACGACAGGGGTTGTTCAAGCTGCACTTCCACAACAAATACCACACATGGCGGAGGAGTGTGTTCTGTCACCTGCAGGTTCAGATTCACGCTGCGCCAAACACTTTTGCCCGATGCCGCCTCCTGCACAGGCGAATGAGAAAGGAGAGAGTGTGCTAGGTGCAGCGCAGGTCGAATATCGCTTAAAACTGATTTATGCGTAAGTCGCCATCCCTGCACTATCCTGCTGCTCCATGGGGGTCGCTATTTCAGCCCAGTATCTCTTTCAGTCCTCTCCAGCCGATTTCTTCGTCATCTTTATTAGTCGACTGAAAGAGTTATCGTTACGGCACCGGCCTCGAGCTGTCTCAGCAGACTGATACATTCACTGCGACGTCGCTGGGTGTATCCAAAATTTTTTCGGCTGCCCCATAGAATGACGTTTTCCGCGATGGCCATCGGCTACTCTCTTCTCCGTCGGCTCAGGTCGTGAAACAGGGCCGAATTTCTCTGCCCAGGACCTCGGCAGTGTTGGTAGGCCGAATTTTGGCAACATCGAGACGGATAGTGCGTGATATGTCTGGCGCGGATGAGAGGTGAGCTTTCAAGCGTGTACGAACGAGAACGTTGTCAGACCCATGTTCAGTATCATTCTCGGCACCACGCAGCGACCTGCTATCATGAGATCAGCTATAGAATCTTGAGCTGACTTAAATATAGTCAATGGCCGTCTTTCGAATGCCGGGTTAGTAGGTGCTTGTTGCGGTGCTCGAAGCACGTGTTAGTAACAAACAGTCGGTTCCCATCAGCAAATTTCAGCCATCTTTCACCATTCTGACATCGAGAATCAAGCCCAAAGCGGCCGATAAGATGGCTGTTTGTGGAGTCACCAAGTCCGGTCCGGCCATTCCAGTCCCCGGCAACAATCTGCAAATCGTGCTGAGGGAGCCTTTCAACTAATGCTTGTAGGTGTGCGAGTAAAATATCTTATCACACTGATCGGCAGCGGAGGTTGGTGCGTATACGAGAACGGCAGAGTTGTTTGTGAATTCACCCCTCAAGCACACATAAGCCATGCGTTCATTAACTGGTTCCCAGGCAAGTAGTGCACGGTTCGCTTGTTACGAGAGGGCAATAGCCACGCCATATCTACCGGAGGAGTCACTTGGGCCACAGTGACATAAAGTGAAGTATGAGTTGACTCCGGGGATCTTTATTTCCATTGCACCTGAGTCAGAAAGTTGGACTTCAGACAGGCAGCAGACATCTACCTTATACTGATAAGGGCTGCGTTCCGTCAGGTTTTGTGTACCAGGGTCTGATTCCGATTTGGTACTCCAGCTCGCACACTACTCGCCCGCAAAACTGCAATAGGGTTGCGCAGCGCGTTTGTGCTCGCGGATGCCGTAGCTTGGATCGTCGTGTAGTTATCGGACATAGTTTTTTGCTAGGTCTCTTGGGAATTGTGAGTATGGGACGGGTCCCCAACAGGCGCTCGGATTGTCTGTTCGAAGTTGTCTCCTCTAGCGCTTTGGTTCAATAGCCTAACCACAAGGCAGCGGTGACAAGTGAACCTATTTTATGGCGGTTCACACTCGCCATGTCAGAGTGCCGTGGTCAGGCTTTGCGACACTATAGGCCTTTGGTGTGTGTCAGACCTCAGCCCACCGCGTCCTAGTAGCATTGCCGCTACCGGTCCGCGACAGCTTATTCACCAGACCCGAGAGTCTGTTTATTTCGCAGTTTACCTCCCCTGAAGTTCGTTCCACTATCCGCCACCTGTGGACGCGCTGAGTAGCCAGCAGCTAGGCTAGCGGGCAATCCGCCTTCCCGGTAGTCGGCTTCCTATAAATGCTATCTGTCATAGGCTGTTTTCAAGCAGCAGGCCTAAGTCAGTATAAAAAAGACCAACATTGGCTCACCTCTTAATGTGTTGTGAGGATCGACGTCTCAATGAGTTTTTTTAATTACATCAGTATCTATCATTCGGCATGTGACCCCGACTTCCAGAGTAATCCGCCTCGATAATAAAATTGTTCGACTATGACAGTCGGCACGCAGACGGCTATGCATTTATTAGTCTAGCGCGATATGTCAGACAGCACTTTTAATCACGCAGCATGTGTTAGCAAGCAGTTTTTTGGAGTAAATATAGAAGTTTTGGTATTAGAAAGGACATTTCCTCACATCCAGCTGATTTCCTATGCTACTAACTGTCGCATGTCACGTCTTTTTTCATTAAATATTTATTCTGAGGCGGGGGGGGACGGACACCGATATAAGTGAGGCAAGTCAAAGGAAAGAACCTCCGCAACTTTTGTGTTTTCTCTTTTCGCAGGTGTTTTGGTCGATGCATTTGAGCCACTGATTAATTTGCGGTTTTTTTGCTGAATTTCCGCATACTCTACCAACTTCACCGCTTACTGTCCATTCAAGTATCCCTTTTATATTTAAACATTTACAACTGATAGGTGGAAACTAATAGGTGCTTTTCCATCGATCTATTTTTGCAAAATGATATGAAAAAAAGATTTTCTCTCAATTATTTCCCTGAAGTGTTTTTTCCCTGTTGACGCTGAACTATACTGGAACACACCTAGTTTTGCTCTATTTTTAAAAATGTCGTAGCCAGTTGGAAAAATTGTCAGTGGAGATTCGCTAGGCAGGTCTGATATAAGGCCGTAGTCCGCACATGTCATTTTGGTAATTCCATTCGAGAAGATCTCGCTATCTCAAAACACTTTATTGTTTCAAAGAAAGGCGTCCCTTGGGAAAATGAGTAAATATATTCAGTAAATTTTCAACACTGGATCCCCAGGTCGTCGTCAGACTTGAGAAAAATGTGCAAACAACAGTTATGCAGTCATCTGGTGTAGGCGCTAATTGGTGGTTGCAATTTGCGTCACATAGTGGTGGTGGAGGGGCGAGTTGATCCAACGTAGGGAGATGGGTGTAGCAGATCTTGGCCGCCGTGAGGGCGGTTGGGAACGCGGACGTAGAAGCGTCTGCTGTGATTCCCACATAGTGGTGGTCATAATTAGCAGTCGCATAGGCGTAATGGTTAATTGGCAACTGTAATTTGAGTCCGTCCAGAGTCAGTCCGGGGCTTCCGGTGTGGGCATTAATTGCGGTTGACTTTGGTCCATAGTTGTCGGCTGCCGTCTCTTCCACCTTTCTTTTAGGTGTTTGTACACTCCAGCCAAGTCGATACGCCGGTTGATGCACGAGGCCATGCACTCCGATAACTACTGATTTACCTAATAACTTTTCTCATTTTCCCAAAGGACCCCTTACCTTGAAATTACACTTCTTGGGATACCTGCCTTCCAGTTTATACGATACTTGTTTTGGGTAATGTTTCCTGAGTTCTGTTACTTATAAGAGCTTCTTCCCATGTTTTTTTGCTGAGGTTCCAGTACTTGTGGCTGACAGCCCACATTGCTGCCCAGCGCCCCTGTTCCGTGCCCACTGCAACCAGGAGTTCTATGCACGACAAACCCCTCTCACAGCTGCCTTCCATCTTTTCCAACAACCCGGAATTCAGCCTGATGATTACGGTGCTTTGAGTAAAAACATTGCTAGGACGTTACATGTGGAATGAATAGAAAATATCACTGTCTTGTAGGAAACTTGCAAGTCTAATCTTCTGACGGTAATAGCTCTGCATCGTACCTCTGATACTTTTCGGCCGTACCTTTGCTATGGAAAGGATCTAAACTAGATCTCGAGGGCCAACTGGTGCCCTGGGTTTCTTCGTGCACATGAAATGCATCGGCGAGCGGTCACTCCTCTGTAACAACCGCTTGCTCATTGTGTACATGTGTGGGAGCGGCTACGTTTTCTATCGTAACTCGAAGTTTATATCCCGCAATACAAGTTCAACCACTTTTTCCTTTCAGCATGCGCCCGCAGCCCTGCTTAGCCTTGGTTCCCTATACGCCTCGTATACCCCTACCGGGATTAGCCACGAAGAAACCGGCTCCCCAGACGGAGGAGGAGGTGGATAAAGATGAAGAGGACAGTGATAAAGATGCCACAATGGATGCGTCTGGCCCTCCACCGACCTGCCCTACTTCTCCGCTTCTCCTGTCCTGGCCTTCTCCTTCGTTTTCACCTCCCTCCGGGTAAGCTAGCGACCTGCCTTTGCTTCTTATGTGGACTACCGGCCAAGAGAGGGCTAGGAAATGACCTCGCATTATTGCTAGGCTTACTGTTATTTTGTTGCACGGAATAACACTCCTTGAAACTGCTCCCTTCCTAGACTGGAGTTCATTGATGAAAGAAATCGAACGAAGAAAGAATAGGTAGATGTAGTAAAGGAGGTACATACCAAGGTAGAGTTACAAACAGCGTGAGCGGCTGTGGCTAGCATGAATGAGCCAGCGTGCAGGGGTGGCTGGAGAAAGCCGATGGTTCAGTTAAACGTCAACGGCAAATCAGTATGCCGTGTCAGTATGGGTTGAATTAAAAGATACCGTTGGCAGTGGAAGTAGAACCAACTGTTGGGAAGAAGATCTGGCCCCTGGGACTTCTCAGTTGGACTGGGAAGGAACCATGGCCTGGACTGGATGTGCTAAGAGTGGTTGATAGCCTCCATCTCGCTACACGACAGAATGCCGGTTAAAAAATTCTTCATATCGTGGTCACATAAGATGACTCAGAAAATACTCCGTTGTGAGAAGCCATGCGAAGGCCAGAGTGGTAGGAAGAGTATATTCTGTACAGAGTGAATGGGAGAATAGGCAAGATAAAATTGACTGTCACAAGTCCGCACAAGCGCAAGCCAGCGGACGCCGTCTTAAGTGGTGTATGCTCGGCAGTCGTCACATGAGGTCCTGTGCTTGGATGTTCCAGAGGCCGGAAGCAGCAAGCTTTCCAAAAATGCAC